CATTCCTTGGTATAGAGGTTTTACACTACCACTTGACACCCCATTTTTGAGGGTGTTCTGCATTCCTTGGTATAGAGGATTTGCACTACCACTTGGCACCCCTTTTTTGAGGGTGCTCTGCATTCCTTGGTATAGAGGTTTTGCACTACCACTTGACATCCCTTTTATGAGTGGAGCTCTGCATTCCTTGGTATAGAGGTTTTGCACTACAACTTGACAGCAGCCATGTTAGATGGCAGGAACAGTACAATATTTTGTAATGAGAAGAGGGTAGAGGGATTTTATTGTTCTGCCATCAAACATGGCTACCTACATGTGATGGTGCAAAATTATTATTATGGAAAACTTTATTATCAGGCTTTACTTTGTCGTTTGAATGATCAAGGCAAGATATCTGTTATACCATTAAGTAAAGACCACTCTCCTGCAGAAGTAAGTGTCATTAATAAAGAAATAGAAAATGCGCATGCGTGCTGTGTGCAGTTATAAAGCACATGGGGGATGGCAGAACATAAGAGAAGTAGCGGAGTGCTTCTCAACACTTCTTGAACTCGTGTTCTGCCAATCCCCAAGTGCTTTATAAATCCACACAGCACAGCAAGCAAGTTTTTTATTTCTTTTATAAAATACAAATTACAGTAACCATTATTTTAGATAGGAATGACGCAGCTGAAAGTGTGCGCACATGCTGTGTGCTCTCATAAAGCATGCCTTCTCAACCAATCAAAACGTGAGATTTATAACAGTTATTTTATAATGCCTTGTACATAATACATATTGTAGTATAATTTTGTATTAAACCATGAGCTCTAGGAGAATATTTTGGAAAATATTTTTGTGACAGGGAAAATGCTTGTTAGTAGACCAAATAAATTCCTACAGAGAATAAATACTCACTTGGATCTGTCTATCCATATTTTATTGATTGTTACATAAGTAAACATGAATTATTCATGGCAAACAATAAAATATGGATAGACAGATCCAAGTGAGTAATTAGTGATTTATTTGGTCTACTAACAAGCATTTTCCCCATCACAAACCAAAATAATATTCTCCTTCAACCCATGATTAAACCTTCAACTTTGTTGATTTTAGTATAATGAACGAATGAGAATTCAAAAAGCTGGAGGTACAGTTAAGTGAGTAAAAATAGTTTAATGATTTCTTGCTATGATTTTGACACTTTTTTTGTGATTGATAGCAAATGAATTCGTTGAACATTTGTGTTTCAGGGATGGCCGTGTCCAGGGGATATTAGAAGTATCACGTTCAATAGGTGATAGGCGGTTTAAACACTGTGGTGTGATTTCTACTCCTGATATAAAACGATGTACATTAACAGATAATGATAAGTATGTAATAAAATGATCCTTTACATTATACAATGTCCCTTTCATACATCATAATCTTATACCATAGTTAATAGAGGGGAATGGTTAGGAAAC